GCTGCAGCAGCACAGCTGGGAACAGAGGGGAAGTGGAAGGGCCAGCTGGTGGGAAAGGGGTGCCAGCCTTCAAGGCACCCAGCACCTACTCCAGGCCCCCAAGGGTTAAGATCCAGAGCAAGGGGTGGGGGGCTGGGGTCAGCGCTGGACAGTCGGGCCTGCAGCCCAGGGCCTGTCACCCCTCCCCCTGCCCTGGGAACAGAAGCCACTTGTTTGGGCTGTGGCGGGCTGGCTTTGAGCTTGCTTGGCCAGAGGAAGAGTGGAGTGGGGAAGACAGAGGGCTCTGGAGAGTGGAGGGGACTCCCCTCCCTGCAGCCAGCTCAAACCTGGTCCAGCACTAGGCCCAGGACTCAGAGATCTCGAAACGGAACCCATCCCTGGATCGTCCCTGACCCCCATTCTAACGCTCACTGCTGAGAGCAGGTTGGAGACTCTGAGAGGCCCAATTCATTCCCCTCTTTGGGCATGCCGCCCGGGGTCTATCACCCATCCTGGGCGCTGGAGGCTCAGTCGAAGATGGGAACTTGTAGTCCCATAGCAGTTGGCAGACACACGGAAATTCCTGGTCCCAGGTCCCAGTCAGTCCCATGGCTCTCCACAGGCCCCTCCTCACTGCGCTCCAAGAAGACCCCTCCTAAGCGGTCATGCTACACAGAACTGAGGCTGGGAAGGCGTGTGGCGTGACAGGCAGTCCGCCTTGGGAAAGCTGGAGTCCTAAAGGACTGGAGAGAGGGAGGGGGAAGAGGGTGCCAAGAACACGGTGAGACTTGGTGTGGAGAGAAGCATGGCTGGAGGTGGGGTATCATGCCAGGGACAACAGGAGGCATGAATGTTTAAATGATACCTGGGGGACGATCTGAGACCCTGATGGCTTCAGCCTACCTCCACCTCACCAGTCTTCAGTTTAGGACTCTGCCTGGGACACTCCATCTCCTGGCCTGCTGGACCAGACTCTGGACAAGCTTGACCAGCCATGGAACAACCAAAGGAGCTCGCTGCCCGGGCACCACCACCTGCTCACATGAGCAAGTCCCTGCCTTTGTCCAAGCCGTGCACTCCCTCCTCTGGAAGGCCCTTCTCCTGGGGAATGCGAAGGGCCAAGCCTCCCCTCCTGGTCCTTCCAGCCCTGGCCCCATCTCTGCACCTGCATCCCCTGCCTTCACAGCTCTGGGAGCTCCTTCTGTCCTATACTGGGCTTGCTGGGTGAGTTCCCCCAGCCGGGGAGCTCTCTGAGGGCAGGCTGTCCTCAGGGTGCCAGGCAGTCAGGTCTCTCCTTGAATGTCCCCACCCAGCCTGGGCGGCAGGGATGGCTCCTCAGGACAGAGACCAGGGGAGGGGGTGCAAAGGGCAAAGGCCATATCGTGACAGATCCGACCAGAGTCCCTCAGCACCAAACACCACACCTCAGGACCAAACCCCACACAGGCCCGAGGCTGCACACCAAGCCTCTTCAGTCCCAACACCCACTGTCAGCTTGACCTCATTCACACACACACACATTCTTCTTTTTCCAGTAACTAGGTCAGGTGGGGCTCTTGGGAAGCCATGTCCCCATTCAATAAAAAACAACCCAACAATCTTCCAACAAGCTGATCACAATTCATGGCTACCCTACAGGGCAGAGTAGGGGTGCTCCTTGGGGTAAATCTTTACAGGCACAGAAAGCCTCAGAGGCAGAGGGACTGGGGGAGTCCAACTGCTGGCTCTGTGGTGAGCAGCTCAACCCCTAATCCACCATGCCACCAGGGTCCCCCAGGGCCAGCCTCATTACTGGGGGACAATTGTGGCACAGAGACCAGAAGTGGCGTGCCCAAGGTCACTGAAGCCCTACATCCTGGGCACAGGGTCCTGGGGTTCAGCAGAACTAGAAGGGTCTCTGGGTCCATGAGGCGGCGCCTTCATTTCGGTGGGGAAAAGCAAGGCGCCCGTGGGCAGATTAGCTCCGGATGCCATGCTGGGGACCATCGGGACAAGGGCTAGGGGTTGGAATCCCCCCTATCCCTCAAGCTCACCTTCCTCCCCACGGTCTCTGGCCGACCGCCCCCCACTCCGCTGCAGGTGACGCCCACAAACATCACCTGTGGGGGGAGGGGACCAGGTGGCCCCGGGAGGGGCGCGCGCGCCGCCGCGCGCGGAGTCACCGCGCAGCCTTGGCGTTTCTTTCTGCGGAATGGGGGAATTCCGGGCCACACCTGGCAGCAGGGCGGCAGACAGAGTTCCCGGGCGTCGCACTGACCTGTTCAGAGCGAAGACTCCGCGGGGGACCCGGGGTGCCGGAACCGCCACCGACTCACGCCGCTTCCACCAACTCGCCGCAGCCGGCCCGGGCGCGCCCACCCCATGGGGCGCTTCCGCCCGCCCCACGTGACGCCCCAGGAGGGAGGGCGGGGACGAGGCAGGTCACGCCCCCTTCGGCCCCGCCCCACGCCTAGTCGCGGTCCTTCAGTCCTCGGGCTAGACGCGGCTTTCCAGCCTGGTCCGTCTCCAAACCCAGTAGCTTACTCGCAGATCGGTCGCTGTCTCCTGCGGCTTAGGTCTCCACCACCACTCCCACCCGGTGAGTCTCCAACTGGTCCCGACTCTTCCTGCCTTTGCCACCCTGCCCACCGGGAGGAGTGAGCGACAGCCACCACCCCCAGCTCCGTGAGGGTCGACTGTGCCCCGCCCCCTCCTCCAGGAACTCCTTCCCCCACCACTTTCTACAAGGGTTTGCCATCTCTCTCCTTGGCGCCAAATCCGTGGACAAGAATCCCGCCCAGTCAAAGCACCCAAGGACCTTTTGGCTCAAGGGACAATTTGTAGGTCAGATATCCAGGAACAGCGAGAATCCTGCCTGTCCTAAACATGCATGCCGATGTGGACCAGAAACGTGGTAGGCATTCTGAGTACCTCTAGTGCCACTTAAAACAGACTGTAACTCCGTTGGCTCCTATTTCTCCATGTGCCCATTGAGTATTTGGAAGAACAGATCTTGCCAAGATAGGGGATAGGAGTTTACCTGCAGGACAGTGGATTCTTGAATGTGGCTCCTCTGGCTAAAGTCTCTAACTCCCACCAAAGGACCTTTATCTGAGGGGGTCTGGTAGGAAGATGGGATAGATACTGATAGAATTTACCTGTGAGTAACAGAGACCAGAAGAATTCCCTGGGGTGACATCCTGCTGTATATAAAATTCCTCTGAGAAGCAGGAGGCAGGATCTCATTACCAGCAGGAGTGGAGCATGGCCTCTGGACCTCAGATCCCTGTGCCTGCCGTGAACCTCCTGGATCCAGTGAGCAGCTACATCATCAGAGGAGCAGCAGAAGAACTAGGAGCCAGAACATGGAACAGAGGGATGGGCTTCCCAAC